GGCCAAAGAGTACAGTTAGCCAGGTTAAACTCTGTGGCAAGTTTCTTTTCGAGTCTTTGTCTTGACCTTAAACGCTTTCCAGCACGCTTAACATACGACCGTAAAATATCTATATATATATTTTTTTATATAGCCTGACAAACAATAATTTTTTATATGGAAAATCCGCTGCACTTTTCCGCCTTGGTTATGGCCAAATAGTTAAAGCCGCTTTACAGCCGTTAAGTGTCGCCAACTTGTGTAGCCTTTATTTCTTAACGGTTTTCTTTCTTTTTTTTCCTCGTGTGTGTGTTTGTGTTAAATGCATTTTTTCTGTTGACAAGAAACTTTTAGTAAACTGGTTTGGCCAAGCGACACTCGAAAATGACCCCCGAGCGACTAGTTGCTTATTGCTTAAAACAGCTCATAAAAATGATTTAACTTAACTTAAATCGAGCGCTTTATTCAAATAGGAAGTCTTAAGAAAAGATTTGATTGCCTCTGGTGCGGTGCCATTGTTGTATATTTTGTAAGGGCTTCAGTTTTGCATATGTATATATTCAATATGTACTTACCATAGTCCCTTACAAAAGAGATTAAAGCCCATTTCAAGCTGTTCCCACGAATGCAACGCTTTTATTCACTCAACAATGCAATCTGAAATTAAAAATGATTTATATTCAAATAAAGCTTTTGTGTAAAAGACTATTTCAATTTAGCTTAATGATTGAGAAAACTGCCTAAAATAATAGCTTGATTTATTTATAATCTAAAACTATATCAAAATTGATAGCCAAATTTATTGTCTTTGAAAGTTGTCTTAGTGCTCAAAATGAAGTCTATAAATATCTGTCTGTAAAAGAATATATCAATTTAACTGGATGATTGTGAAAACTAACTTTAACAAATACTTAAAATAATAGCTTGATTTATCTGCTAAAATCATAAGCAACTAATTCACATATGAAAGCTGTATTTATTCCCTTAAAAAAATAAAATCTATAAATATTTCCATGTCTGAAAATATCTCAATTTAACTTGATGATTGAAAAGTAGCTTTAACAAGTAGTTAAATTAATAGTTTTATTATTTGTATACATTTGCCATGCATACTAAAATCATAAACAACTATTTTAATATTGAAAATCGTCTCGTCGAAGGGAAGTCTATAAAAGTGTTCCTTTAAAAGAATACATCAATTAAGCAGAATCTTAATGATAGCTTTAACAAGTAGTTAAAATAATAGTTTTATTATTTGTATGCAGTTCCCAAGCACACTAAAGTCTTTAATAACTATTTTAATGTTGAAAATCGTGTGGTCAAAGGGAAGTCTATAAATATTTTCATAGCCATGACAATAATAATTAATCTGAAACAATTAGCATATCTAAAGGTTGAGCATTGAAAAATTGATACCATATAAAGTGGGAAACAACAAGCCAAGCAGCGAAGGCAGATAAACAACAATGTTGTGCTGGTTTTTAGCTGAACTCTATATGAATATGAGAAGCCCATTTATTATTATGAGCCGAGATGCTGCAGTCCATTAAGACAACGCCCACACACACCACACACACACACACACCACACACACCACACACACACTCGCTCCTGGTTCACCTTTTGGCCTGGCGCTGACTCAGCTACAGAAAACATCGGCTCAAAGAGAGGCTCATCAATTCTTATTTTTCTTCAGCTTTCGTGCTTCTCAATAAACATGAATCGTAAATCAATAAAGCCAAACACAAACTCAAAAGTTCAGCCCGAAAAGGTTGACCACTGTGCAGCAGCGAGAAGAAAAAGAAGAGCGCCCTTCTTGTAAAAATTGAGCAGTTGAAAAGTTTTTATTTTGATTAATTGCTGCCGCAATACAATTTCATGTGAAATACATTTTGATTGATGTTTTTATAATTTTGCAACATTAAAATGTGGCAAAGAAGTGAAAATGCCTCCGCGCAGAGAGACTTGCTCGACTTGCAGATATGCTGTAAGCCAGTCTTTGCCAGCTTAAAATGATTCCCTTTTTACCCTTCACAAAGGGTATACCAATGTCAGCAGCAGTAGCAGTTCCGGCTACATTTTTGCTCTGTTGCAGTTCAAGTTTTTTTTTGGGGCAATGTTGCAGTTGAAGCAGCAGCCACAGGTGTTCCGGCGATCAGTAATTAAAAATTCAAATTTAATTTTCAGTCTAAACGTTTCTAAACAAAAGCAATGAAGACAACACACACATTAACATCTGGACACAGCAGGCTGTCCCGCCGGATCCGGCAAAGATTTATGCCGTCTATGCGGAATGGGAACGCGGATAAGGGGCAGCTCGGGTTAGAGAGGCAGGGGCAGGGGCAGGGGAGACAATGAGAATTTCATGTTGCACTTTGTTGGCACAGTTTTTTATTTTTCTGCTTTGGTAAAGAAAAACTTCCGCATTTTGTGCTGGCTCCTTGTTGCTGCTGTTGTTCTTGTTGATGTTGTTGTGGCGCCCTTATACTGCTGCATAAATAACGTGAGAATTATGGCACAAGAGCAGCAGCCCAGTTTGCAGTTTCCAGCAACAGCAACAACCCGAACAACAACAACAACAGCAACAGCAACAACAGCAACATAAATATGCATGCGCAGCCATAAAGAAATTGTTAAATGTTTCGAGTCCCAATCTCAGACTCAGAACCGTTGCGCTTTTATATTGCTCAGGCCAAAGTCACAAATTTTTGGCAGCCAACGGTTCACTTGGCAGCTACACTCGCAGAAAAACAATATATATTATGCTACCAGAGGGTTTTCGAAATATTTAAGAACACATTCAAAAAAACCTGAACTCAGCTTAAGCAATTAAAATCAGAAGCGAACATTTTCTGATTACTTCACTGAGCATCAAAATGGAACCGAAAACGTTGAACGAAATTAACAGATTGAAATTTAGAACCAGAACCGAAAATCAATTCAGTTTGATTAACTTGATCAACAAAAAACCAAGAATGTTTGAAGCTCTGCCTTAAGATGAATCCCGATGGAATTCGAAATAGATTGGAGTCTATGCAACACAAACAAAACATATTTAAATTATTATAAGAAGTCACCAAACAATAAACAGCCAAGAAAATATGTAAATTCCCAAATTGAATATATTTAAATACTCAGATTGAATATATGTAAATTGTGGAATGGACATGATTCAATTCAGCTGTTTGTCGTCTTACTTTTCATTATAGATCGGCAGATTAAAAGTTTGTGATGAAGTCTCCAAGGAGACGTCTCAATATTTATATTCCTGATCATCATCATCAGCAGCCGATCCATTAGAGCCACGACTTTCTATCTATCAGTCTCAGAGACTATAAGAGCTGGAGAGTTCCAACTTATATCGAGATTAAGCTTGGAATATATCCGTATTTATGTTGTGGGCAGTATTGCAGGATGTATTACTATATCATTATCATTATGGGAATAATCGGTCGAAAGATGAGTTCTTTTACGAACAACTCTTTGGTTCATTAACATATCTAAGCTAATTACTATTATTATTTTCGACTGAAAATGATCGAGATTTGTTCTCCGATTTGCAAGGCTAATCTTTGTGAAGATACTGTGAAGATATTTTCAGTTTTATTCGCGTTTTTTTTGTTGAGTGTAGCTTCAGTAAAAGCTCCAGCTTCAATTGCAACTGTTACTTGCAAAGCAGTAGTCAATACTCAGTCAGTCAGTCAGTCAGTCAGTCAGTCAGTCAGTCAGTCAGTTGAGTGAGTGACCACATCACGCGCCTGCAATTGTTTTGGCCTGAACCCGCATTGCCAATTACGACACCAGCAACAGCAACAGCAGCAACTGCAACAGCAACTTGCAGCAGCAGCAGCAACTGGCAACCGGCAACTGGCAACTGGCAACAGCAACAACTCCCCATTTGCAATTTATGGATGCTCGCTGGCCAGTTGGCTTCTTTTATTGTGTGTTGGCTTTTTGGGCAGTTCGAAAATCGACTGCAACCAAAAATATACGAAACAATTCAAAACACAGCAAGAAATACGACTTATTATCAGCTTTTATGCGCTGGCACTGCTGGCGGGCAAAGGTCTTGACGTTTGATGTTTACAGTTGCGATTTACAGTTTGACTGACACTGCTATAAATATATACATATGCTATAAATACATTTTGCTCACCATATTCGTAAACATCCGATTGCCTTTTGGTATTTGGTATTTAGGCCAAAACACACACAAAACGAAAATGTTTATCACTAATCGATTTGAAGGAAAACTGTTTGCGATAAGGAATCGATTTTGGAGAATTACAGTTTGAGTATAATAAAAGGAATTCTTTGCATAAATTCCAATTTCCTATTTTATAGCATACATTTTGAAGAACTTACAACAAATCCAAAAGAAACTCAACTTTGCAAACTGAAAAATAAAATGAATTTTTTAAGAAATCTTATTATTTCTGAGAACTGAAAATGCGATCCATTTGAGGACTTACAGCTTGACTGCCACAGCCAAATTGTAAAGAAAGCTAATGCAAAATCTGCACAAAGATTTGTATTTTCAAGAAAAACGAAGCCAAAGGAAAATTAACCCACTGAAAACTGATTTTTCGCAGTAAATATGCAAAAAAAAGATACAAAAAATACAAAAAATGTGAAGGCGTCTTTTCATCGCTGATTTCGCCACATTTTGTGACGTTTGTTGTACGGTTAAATGACATGTGACAATTGTGACGTTGTTGCAACAGAGGCAACAGCGACAACAGCGGCAACAGCGACAACAGCGGCAACATCGTCTGCTGGGCGTCTGCCGCCGACTGGCAACCTGTTGGCCAGTTTATTATGACAGTAATTGGCCAGGCATCGTCAGCGTCAGCGTCATCGCCATCGCCATCGTCTGGAAAAGTCAGTTTCAGTTTCAGCTTCAATTTCACTTTTGCTGTGCATGTTGCACTTGCAGTTGCAGCCGATGTTGCAATGCACTGATCCATGTTTTAAATATATATATGTTTAAATGTTCACATTTTGGATGGCTCTGTTCGCAGTCGACACATTTGCGTGCAGCAGCGGACGATCACGATGCCGGTGAAGACAACGGAGGTGTACACGCGACCCACCTGGAAACACATCAGCACCCCCTGCCAGCCACCCACCCATGCTGGCCAGATGTGCACCCGGGTCCAGTTGGTGCACGAGCCCGCTTACAGGGATGTCATCAAGCACAAGCCCGCCCAGCAGATGACCTACGATTGCTGCACCGGCTGGTCCAAGGAGACAACTCGCTCCGATGCGTGCATGAAACGTGAGTTGGGCAAATGGAGTCGTTAGTAGCCTGCCTACACTCGAAAAAAAACATAAACTGTTTTCTTATATATAAAAGTTACTTCTTAAAACATGAAAAACTTTCTGGTTTTAGTATGATTTTATCCCGAGTGTTGCAGCAACTTTCCAGATCCATTCTTAAGCTATAATCTATAATTCCCCCTTCAATTTTAATCACAGCTATTTGCACCAGTCGCTGTCAGAATGGTGGCAACTGTACGGCCCCGCAGACGTGCAGTTGTCCGGCGGGATTTACGGGTCGCTTCTGCGAGCAGGATGTGAACGAGTGCGAGACGGAGAAGCCCTGCGATCAGCACTGTGTGAACACCCAGGGCTCCTACTACTGCCGCTGTCGCCAGGGCTTCGTGCTGCACTCGGATCAGCAGAGTTGCCGCAAACTATCCACGCATGCGGACGATGCCTTCGAGGCCCGCGATCTGGAGAATGATATAGATGACACCGATGCCGAGGTGGCGACGCGACTCCAGAAGATCGAACGCTCGCTGGCCAATGAACGAGTCCACACGAATGAGCTGCAAAAGTCACTGCAGGCCACCTACAGCGTCGTGGATACCCTCAAGAGCAGGCTAAGCACTTTGGTAAGCCACATACTACAGGGTATATATCAGTAATATCAGCTGATAAGAGCTGGCAAAGAACAGGCTGGTTGTGGCCAAGAAAGATCAATCTTTAAAGGAGATACCAATCTTTCCAGGCGACTACCGAATTCTCGATTCTTATCGATTTGCTAGCCTCTTCTGTAGAGTATACAAATGCGCACATATGTTAAAGTAATCGATTATTTGTGGTTTTAGGAGAAACAAGCGCAGGATGTGAATCGGATGCAGACGAATCTCTACAAAACGGAATCACGCACCAACAAATTGGAGAACATGTTGAATCTGCTGATGAATTGTCGGAACGGGCCCAATGCCAATTGCCCCTAAAAGGGGGCTGGAGGGGACGGGACGGGACGAGACGGTGCGGGGCCAACACAGAACTGCATTTCTTTTTTGGTTAAGTGATTAGTTTAAATATTTTTGTGCGTAGCTGCTCCTTCTGCTTGTAAGCCATTCCCGAACGCAAGTGCCTCCGTAGTTAATAAATAAACAAAACTACAACTAAAGCTAAAACTAATAATTAATAAACTTAAAAATCCCACATTTAGTACTTAAGCGAACTCGTGTCATAAATGTATATGTATTAAAAATCGAATGCTGTAGCTTATAAGCCCACAATTTCTGCTATTTTACTTATATATATATGTGTCTAGTATTTGCATGTATTTTTCTGTAAATAATATAGTTGAGAAAATAGCGCACAAATAAATACATTTTCTGTATTCGCAAACATTTCGCATTTGAATTGAAGCGCGCTGGCAGCGCTGCCAGCTAACAGAAAGGTGTGGTGAGTAGTAGAGCGAGTGGGCAACCCCACTATCGATAGGTAAGAGAACGATGGCAACATATTCAAATCTGTTTCGGTAGTTTTCAATTCAATTTCAATTGTCAGGCCATCTCTAGCGCAATCGCAAATAGCTCATGCCACCACCTTATACAGTTGCACCATTCAATAATATACTCATTGAGTTTGGCAACATGTTCCTATGACGTCAGAGTTCTGCCCTGTTCGAATGTGGAGCCCAACTGCGCAATAGTGTAACCTTCGCTATGTATGAATTGCGAGAAGTGCCAAGACAAACAACAGCTGAAATATTAATTTGCACCAAAACAAAAGAATTATTATCAATTTTAAAGATGCAAGCAGCTGAATTGAACGCAATAAGAATTGTACTACGTCCGCAGTTGTAAATTAAATGCGGGTAATTTGCCCGCAGAAATCATCAAGAGCAGCTCAAAATTAGGCAAACAGATTTCACTTTCCACAGCAAACAAAAACAAATCCAAAGTGCAATAAAAAACAAAAATGACAAACGACAAATTACCGTTAAAGCAGGCGGCAGTTTCCGTGCAGCGTTTCCAGGATGAGGCGGTGCCCCATCATCTGAGTCTGCTGCAGAATCATCGCAGCAACATTGAAAAGAGTCTCGCTTTGGGCGACTGGCAGAAGATCAAAAAGGAGGAATTAAATGCGATGCGGGTAATAAAACAAATGAAGAATCTGCTGCTCGAAATGGATGCGTTGCGTGAGAAACTGCGAGATGAGGATTTGGAGCGATTCGATGATCTGATGAAGCCTGGCAAGGATAAAGCCTTCGAGGGCATGAAACGATTTGCAGGTAAATCCTAATTCACTCTTAGAGGTGGCAGCGTGAGCCCAACACTGCTCCTATCACTAACAACAATCTGTTCTAATTCTCCATTTGTTATCGATAACCAGAATTGAAGCTGAAGTCGCCCAGTTCGCGGAGTTCTCGGTATGACGATCAGGATGAGGATCAGGACCAGGTGGTGAGCATTGTGAATGTGCCCGCCTTGCAACATGCCCTGCCCCAACTGGAGACGGACTTCCAGCTGGAGCAGCATCAGCTGGCGCAGCGAGAGGCATGCTTAGTGCAAATGGAGCAACTGCAGCATGAGATTCAGGATTTGCATGGCATGTTCCACGGCATGCGGCAGCTGACCCAGGAGCAGGCGACTAGTGTCCAAAGCATAGCGGATAACGCCGAGGAGGCATTGGAGAATGTGCAGCAGGGAGAGCGGAGTCTGAGGAATGCCTTGGGCTACAAGAAAGCCATGTATCCAGTTGTGGGTGCCCTGCTCGGCACCTGTGTCGGTGGACCCATTGGCCTTGTCGCCGGAATTAAGGCGGGCGGATTGGCTGCTGTGGGTTGTGGCATATTGGGTTTCACTGGGGGATCTGTGCTGAAAAGCAATCCAGATGTTTTGCATGGGAATATTGAGGAGCAACGGGGGCAGCAGGAGGGCAATAACGATAACGATTCTATGGAGACTTTGGAGTTGGCGGACAAATCGCACGAATGACAAACGTTGACCTTGGCCAGGAATAAGATGCCTCCTCGAGTTGCAGTTGCAAGTGGAGTTTTGTGCAGCGTGCGCAGCTTTTGTTCCATACAGTGAAAGTGGATGGTGTTGTGGATGACGAGTAGACATTGTGGATGCTGAGTATCTTGTGTATTCGGTGTATCCTTTGTGGATTCTGATTAGATACACACATCTGCTGTGGATTCTGAGTATATGTTAACTAATTCTGAGTGGATGATGTGTATTCTGGGTATCTGTGAATTGTGTCTGCTGTGGATGCTAATAATCTGTTGTGTTTGCTGAGTATATGCTGTAGATTCTGCTTGTCTACTGTGCATTCTCAACATCTGTTGTGGATTCCAGTAAATATATATAATAATGAAACACATAAACACCGACCGTCAAAAAAACTATTCGCCTCGAACATCACCACAGCAGCAGAGTCAAGTCACCCCCTTATTTTATTACACCATGCGTAAGCCGACATTCACAATGGAGTCCACAACAGATACTCAGCGTTCACAACAGATACTCAGCGTCCACAACAGATACTCAGCGTTCACAACAGATACTCAGCGTCCACAACAGATACTCAGCGTCCACAACAGCTACTCAATTTGGGCTCTCTCTCTCACTTTACATTTAAGCGTTAAATGAATTTGTTAAAAGCCAAGTAGCTAATCTTTATCTTTAACTGTACTTTATGTATCCATATTTTTAAGTTTTACGTCTGTGTAATTTTTAAGGCTTTAATATGCAATACAAAAATACAAACTCATATATTGCTAACAATAAGTCGCCATTTTGTTTTGTAGTTACAGTTACAAATTTCCTATATACTACATATGTATATAATGCTTAACAACTAATCCTCTCTCTCGCTCGCCCTTTCCCTTTTTAGAGCGGCACATTAACCGTTGTCCAGGCCTGTTTGAAATTCTTCTTTTGTGCATGCTGCTTTTTGCGTAGACGCTTTGCAGTCTTCTTCTTCTTGAACCAGGCAGGATAATTGCCAAATTGATCTTTGAGTGTTTTACTGTTGTAGACGTGCTCCACACCCGTTTTCTCATTCACCTGGAAAATCTCCTTGCCCTTCTCCAGGCTCTCTTGATGCTCATAGATCAATTCCTGATGCTCTCTCGTTTTGGCTGCCTGTTATTATATTAGAGTGAAATTTAAATCTCCCTTTTCGCTCTCTGTCTCCCTCTCTCGCACTCACCTTTTTGATATCTTTGGCTGACTTGATTTCGGCCACTTCGCCAATTTCCATTTTAATTTCCTTGCCATCGGCATCCAGCAGTCCCAGCGTTTTCTTCAGGCGTATCAACTCCTTGGCATCGTAGCGATCCTTCTTGATTTTGTTCATTTCATCGCGACGCTTGCGCGATCGATTCGAGCGACCCATTTTCTATATTCTTTATATTTTCTGGATTAAATTTACCCAATATGCGTTGTTAAAATATCAACACGTGCATCTGCAGGCGATATTTGTCGATAACACTTGGCTACTATATCGATATGCGTGGCAGCCAACTTCACGTCACTCAAATGTGCGTTAACAGCGCAGGTTAACAGACTATCGATTACCGCAACATAGAGCAACACCACAAAGGCCAAAGAATGTTTAAAAAGCCGTTTCTTTTAAAAATCTGTTAATTTTTTACAATATTAATTTAATTACTCTGAAACACGCTTCCAACTATAAATCATCCATGCTTAAACAGCGCTTAAAAAACGGGTTTAGCAAAGTTATTTTTTACCCAATTCGTATTTTTGTTTTTGGGTAAAATTGCAGCACGAATTTTGAGCAAGAATTGCGTTTCCAAATTTACAAGTAGCATTAATCTAGAGGCCAAACTGCTGCCAAAATGGTATCGCTTACGAAAAACGTTTGTGTATTGTCAAAATTATGATATATGGTTTATATATGTATATATGTATGTACGTGTGTGTGTGTGTGTGTGTATCACAGATGTAGCAATGTTTTCTGTCTGCACAAAACCAGTTCTCACTCTCAATCTCATTCTCGCTCATTCTCATGAATGCAATATGATTTTTGTGTACAAACAAAAGTCAGCTGCTAATGCTGACTACCTACTCGCAAGAGAGAGAGAGAGTGAGGGGAGAGAGCGAGTGGCTAATTGCAAGAGAGCGTGAGGTGGAAAGTGAGAGAGAGAGAGAGTGAGGCAGTATATATGAATAACAAGGCAAAACGAAGAGAGAATACTCTATCTAACTGAGCCGAATTATGTGTAGACATTGAATATGGGGTATATTGGTTATATTATATTAGTTATTATACACTTTTTGCAGTTATATGGGAAATATTTAGATTTTTATGCAAGAAATGAGTTTTTATACGCTTGCTGTTGGTATTTTGAAGGAGATGTCTATATACTCTTCATCAGCATTACAAGTGGATGTGAGTCCCTGTGTGTGTCTCACTATCTATGGGAAACTTGGAATAAATCAATCTTTTAGCTTAAGATAGAAGTTTCGTCGGAGTAATTTCTTTCTTTTTCTAATTGAGACTTGTTCTAGTAGTTAAAGTCAAAGGACTTCTTACTTTAGGTAAGACTGTTGGTTGCAAAGAGAGAGATGAGGGAGAAGGAGATTCTCTCTTGCACAGGCGCAGCAGCAGTTTTTGTTGTTGTTGTGTGTCAGCAGGAACAGCAACAGCAGCAGCAGCAGTAATTTAACAGGGTAACTGTGTCGAGCTCAGCTGGTAGAGCCACCAGCAGCCATCCGTCAACACATCCACCACCACCACCACTAACAGCACTGGCAACAACAACAACAACACTAACAACACTGGCAGCAAACAAGAAGAAGAAGAAGCAGGAAGGAAGGCAAAAGCAAAAGCAAACTGGGGAACTCTTCTGGCTTCATTCGCTCGCCGTCAGTCGTAGCTAGCCAACGTCTCGGAGTTTGTGTTGTTCGTCTTGCTTCTGCTACTACTTCACTACAACAGCATAAAAAAGAACTCACCCCCGCCCCTAAAGCAAAAAAAAAAATAAATTATAAAAATATAAACTGCTCAAATTGTGAGTTAAAGTTGAAAATTCTTATTTAGATACTTTTCAAGTGTTGCGAAAAGCTACTTTTGAGTCCTTCTCTGCAGTGGATCAATAAAGAAAGCCCCAGCCAAGTAAGTGTGCATATTTACAACCCCAAAAAATAATACAAAAAAAACACACACAAATACAAACACAAAAACACCAAAACCAAAAGCAAACGCAAAATCAAAATGCTTTTGCGGAAGTCAACATAAAAATGGCAAAGAAAGCGAGCGAGTAAGAAGAAGAACCCATTTGCTTGGAAGTTAACATACATACTATATAAATGTATATATATATATATATACATATACATTCTTGTGTGTATATACCATCAAATTGTTCTTGTGCACGATTTGCGTATATAGAGAAAAATCACACATAGCAAAAATGCAGCCAAGCGAGAAAACAAAAAACTTATAAAAAAAAAAGAATTGAAAATAAAAATAAAAAAAAATCTGATTGCACCTTTTCACAGTTCACACTCTATATATATATATATATATGTGTGTGTGTGTGTGTGTGTTTGTGTGTGTGATTTAGTCTGACCTGTGCTCGTAACTGTTCGCAGAACTTGTCCATCCTGTCAGCAAAAGTGCCTACCAAATACACAGAGCAAAATGTGGAAAGTTGAAATCAAAAATATGTATTCTTGATTCACAGTCAGCAAGAAATCTTAAGCTAAGCATTTTTCAAGATTATGCCTCATTAAGAATAAACAAACTAAAATATGAAAAAAAAAACAATTACATTTACGCACTTTTGTTTCTAGTCGGTCGTTTTTTGCTCAGTGTAGCGCACTGCAAACAAATCGTATCTTTAGCTGCGAATCTGTGGACTCGATGCTAGTTTTGTGCTTTTGTTTTTGTCTTTCATTTCGATTAGGCCATAAATTTAACTAGCATCACGTTTTCAGCGTTTTTGGCCCAAACGATTGTTATCAGTTAAGAGCAAAGAACAGTTTTGAAAATCGTTTTGGCTGAGGCACTTAAAACTTTTTTGGCATTGTGACAAATGGCATTAAAAAATTCTTGATATTCATCGTCAGCTGTTTTGGTTGTTAGCATTTTTGTAATAAATAAATACGACCAAAAGCAATTCATAGGCCAGGTTGTGTGCGCCTTTTTCATTTGACGCTTGTCACCAGTTTTTTCTTGTTATTTTGTATATTTTTCATAATATTTTCATTTGATTCGCTTCTGGCTGAGAGCCAAGGCAAAGACAATAAATTGTGTATGGAATTTGAATGTGTGTGTGTGTTGTGTATGTGTTGTGTGTTTTGTGTGTGTGTGGGTCATAAATAAAGGAAATGCCTATGCACACCACAAAAAAGAGAGAAAAACAAAAAGAAATTGTTGAGGCAACCTTTTCGCTTGACGAGGGTACAAGCAGTGCAATGCAGTACCTTATACTAGTACCTCTAGTACCCGTAGTACCCCTGGTACTCCATAGTACCCTATGTATACTTCGCAAGGTACCAAAATAAAAAAGAAGACAAAAAACCCAATCACAGGCCCCAAAGGTGAGACCAAGTGAATCATGCAGCAAAAGTGCACAATAAGCAACAGAACAGGTCTTGCAAGGCCCGACTCATTGTTTTAGGATACCCTCTAATAAGTAAATGTGCATAGAAAGGGTAGCCTGGGCTTTAAACCAGTATGTGACAGGCAGAGAATGGCAGCTAAGAACCAATCATATTCATTTTCATATGTATTTCTTCGTATCAGTTTCAAAGCCTGTGAAAGTTCAGCAGGAATTATTTAGTATTTAGTATTTTATAACATCTTAAAATGTGTAAAAGTATTTTCAAAGAGAATACTAGTTGAAATGTGTTGTTATTTTTAAGAAATGTAATCAGGGTAAGCCCGATTAGTGAGTACGATATCTGGTTCTGTATTTGGTTCCAGTTTTTTAACTATATCAACTCCTTCATCTAATTTTCAATACTCGTCTTTTTAGCATAATAGCAAGTTATGAAGATGAACTACGAACTACGAGTGGTATATTTTTGTTGATTACAGGATATTTTCAAGTCGAACTCACTTGTTCCCTTTTTCATATATGACCTGGAGTTAGAGCGAGCTGGCAATAAATCAAGTCTGGCCAGTCTGCAAAAAAGAAAAAGAAAAATGATGAAATGAGAGCGTAAAAAACATAAACAGCAAACAGCTGATGCTGGATTCGAGTTTGTATTGGAGTTTGTGCTTGTGTTCAAGTTTATGTATCTGGTAGATACAATTTCGGCATGGCCGAGATCAGCACGACTTGGTCTTGAACTAACGAGCCGACATCGAATCTGGCTGCGAGCATCTCTCTAATTGGCAACACAAACAACGAACAACAACAACAACAAAACAAAGGCTAACTGCAACTGCAACTGACAATTGGCCAAGTCCTTTGTTTGAGCCAGTTTTTGCTATCTGTAGACACTTGAGGGCATTTTGGTCTGCACATAGAAAGTCAGCTAAACAATTAAGTCATCATTAGAGCGCATTACTCGTTTTCATTAGCTGACGCCGCAGTTTTTCCATATATATATATATATATATATATAGATATACCTAGGTATACCCATACAGGTCACTATGATAACAATGATGATCCAGGTAAGCGGCTCAGAATGTAGACCCTAATTAGCTGCCGACAAAAACTATTTGTTGACAGTTAGTCAACAGCTTTTTGTAACTGTAATTATGGGTGTAGCAGATACATATATACACTCTGAAAAATAAGTAGTTAAGTAGTGAAAACAATGGAAATGTATTTTATATAGATAGATAGATAGATATACAAATTATTTATACATAATTTTTGCAGCTATAATTGGAACTTGGAACGTGGAACAGCTTTTTCTCTGTGTGTAGTAGTATAATTACTTTGGTATTCATTACATATATTACGAGTCCAATTTGAGGTGCAAAAGTTATTCATATCTATTAATTTAGAATAGCTTGTTTAACGAGTGTAAAAAGTACTTTTGCTTCTATTTATATATGTAATATTAAAGGATCTTTCTTGAAATTGAAAACAGCCTTTTTCTCCGAGTGTACACACACAGACACAACCACATGCATAAAGACATCAAGTGCTTTATTTTTGGTTCTCGAATTTCTCCTTTGTGTCAGGCAGTTCCTTTTTTGTTTTCTTCTTTTGACCCAGCCAATTTGCTTGCCTGAGTTATGGCATAAACAACCCAAACAAAACCGAGGCAAAGGCGAAAGTGAATTTTTGGCCTGCGGGTTTTTCCTTTTGTTTTTGCTATTGTGAAAACCCGAAATAAAAACAAATCCAAGCCGTTTCCTCAGATGTATCTTTAGCTGTATCTGTATCTGTTAGCTGTATCTTATGACATCGAATTGTTCTTTTAGCGCAAAATGACGTCATATGTGGCGAAGGCAAAGTGTTGCCAGTAATAATATATATATATATACGTTAGCCATCA